CTTGAGATTCTTTCTTTCCTTCTCTCTCTGCCCCTCTCTCCCTCAAAATAAATAAACATTAAAAAATAAAATAAAAACAATAATCTATAAATAACAATTACTTAGCCCTCTTTTATTTTTAAAGTCATGCAATATTGCAGATAAACCCTCCAATGTTCAAGTATATGTGTGGTGATATTTAGTGACAGAAACAAGTAGTGTTTAAGAGCAAAAGTCTTCAGTTTCTGGGGGCGTCTGGGTGGCTTAGTCAGCTAAGTGTTCAAAACTTGATTTCAGATCAGGTCATAATCTCACAGTTCATGGGTTCGAGCCCTGTGTTGGGCTCTGTGCTGACAGTGTGGCGCCTACTTGGGATTCTCTCTCTCCATCTCTCTGCCCTTCCCCTGCTGTTTCTCTCTAAATAAATAAATAAATAATAATGTAAATAAATTAATAAATTGAAAACTTTTTTAAAAAAGTCTTTGATCTCTGTTTTTTCTCTTAATTAGCTATATAACCTTAAGCAAGTTACTTAACCTTTCTGACTTCCCATCTATGAAATGGGGATATTAAGGATTCTTTCTTTCCTCTCTTTCCTTCCTACCTTTTTTCTCTCCCTTCCTTCCTTCCATCTTTCCTTCAACAAATACTTTTTTGAGCACCTGCAATGTGCAACTCAAGGCTCTGGGAATAAATACAGCAGTGAACAAGGACAAAGTTCCCTTTTTCATGTATGTAAGAATTTAGTTGAGTGAAACATAATAAATATGAATGCCAGGTGGCAAGTACAATGAGCAAAACATAGTAAGGGATATGAGGGATGGAGGGAAGATACATAGAAGAGGTAGTCAAGGAAGGGTCCTCTGAGAAGGTGACATTTGAGCTGAAATATTTAACTAAGTGTAGAGAAGAAGTTTCCAGGTGGGGGGAAACATCAGACGTGACAATCATAAGGAAAGTATGTTTTCAATGTATGTTTGAGAAAGAATAAAAAGGTCAAGATGACTGAAAATGTAAAGCCTTTAGATTTTACTCTACATGCATTTGGGAAGGTTGAGAAGAAAAGTAAAAACATGATCTGATCCATGTGGAAAAGGACCAACTTTCCAGATGTTTTAACATGTAATTTGATTATGTGTCTAAAGATTGACTTCTCAAGCATGTGTTAAGATTGGCATGAGCTTGTAAGGCAGTGTATGTGAATTGCCTAGTGTTTACAGTAGATTGCCCTTAAGAAGCAGCTCTAATTATTATGCTATTAGTCAAGTTGATAGACCATCACCAAGGTTCTGCACTGATGATGATAGGGCATCTGTCTGAGGGCCAAGGAAACAGGGAGAAAAAAGTCCCATCATTTCTTGAGTACTTAACTCTGTGCCAGGCCTGTACATATTTAGCTTAGGTACAATCGAGCAAAGCAGCATGCCTTTTTTTTTTTTTTTTTTGTATCAGTCTTATCATGATGCCCAGAACTAGTCATAACTCTGGGCTGAGGTGACTATTAAAGTGTACATTTTAACCTGGGGTGGTAACATCAGGTCCTATTGACCCCTGTTACCTTAATGTGATTTCATGGATCAGATGAACTAGCTAGCCACCCCAATGGCTCTGGAGTCTGAATGCCTGTGGACAAAATCCAGTTCAACTACTTATAAGCTATGTAACTTTGGGCAAGGTACTTAACCTATCTGTGCCTCAGGTTTCCCATCTCAGGGATGATAGTGATAATTATCTCTCAACATTTATGTGAGCTAAAGAGAGATGCCGCTTGCAAAAATGATTTATCCAACACAGCTATATTGTTTGCACAGTTAATTAATGAGCCGATCAGAAGAGCTTTGAGGGGTGGAACACAGGACTGGGTAAGATTTTAGGGGAAAGCAGAGGGCCAAAAATGTTATGGTGCTACCATAAGTAGTTCTGCAGAATGAACACTTACTTCCAGGAGTGGGAACAGCTGGAAAAAGATACTAAAACATGTTCTAAAAAATATAACTTAAATCTTTGCAAGTTCTTACTGTAGAGACAGAAGATTCAAGTGATCCATGAGAAGTTTTGATCAGTATGCTACAGAATGATGGATGATAGGGAACCAAACAATGAGATAGGCCATATAAGGAGTTTAAATAAAGTAAGAAAAACAGATAAATGTGGGAAAGAAATCAGAAAATTCAGAAAGTAAGAAATGCAACTAGGAAAAAAATTAGTAAGGAAAATGTTTGCCAATCAAGTTAGCAAGGATTAAAAAAAATAATACAAATCCCCTTGCAATTAAGGCAATAAAAAGGGGAGAGACTTTCTCATATACTCCTGAAAGGAATACAGATCAATAAAACCATTTGAGAAATCAATGTGATGACATAGATCGAGCGCTTTTAAAATGATTATTCTCTTTGACTTGATAACTCTATTTCTAGATTGTTATATACCCATTTGTAGATTTTTCTAGGTTTTATTGATTTATTTGAAAAAAAATAATTTTAGTATTTTTTAATGTCTATTTTTGAGAGAGAGTGAGTGGGGTAGGGGCAGAGATAGAGAGAGACACAGAATCTAAAGTGGGCTCCAAGCTCTGAGCTGTTAGCATAGGTCCTGACTTGGGGCTCAAACTCATATGCCATGAGATCATGACCTGAGCAGAAATTGGAAGCTCAACTGACTGAGCCAACCAGGTGTCCCTGAAAAAAAATTAATTTTAGGTATAGAGTCTTCATAGAATTTATTATAGTAGCCCCAAATTAGAAAGATTAAAATATCTTCAAATAAATGGCATATTTTGCAACCATTAAAAAAGACATTATATGCCCATGAAAAAGAATGAAATTGACTCCTTCCTCACGCCATATAAAAAAATTAACTCCAAATGGATCATAGACTGAAATGTTTAAAAGCTAAAATTATAAACCTCTTAAAATAAAATATAGGATCAATAGAACTTGGGTTAGGCAAAGCCTTCTTAGATATTATACCAAAAACACAAGCATCAAAAGAAAAAAAATATACAAATTGGGCTTTATCAAAATTAAAAACTTTTTGCTTCCAAGAACACCATCAAAACAGTGAAAAGGCAACCTAAAAGAATGAGAGAAAACATTTGCAAACCATTTATCTGATTAGGGACTTGTATCCAGAATATAGATTTAAGAATTACAACTAAAAAAAAGAAAAAAGAAAAATAACCTAATTAAAACATAGGCAAAGGTACTGAACAGATACTTCACCAAAGCAGGTGTAAGAATGGCCAAAAAGCATATGAAAACATGCTTAACATCATTAGCCCCTAGGGACAGGCAAATCAAAGCATGATGAGATGTCATTTTATACCTGCTAGGATGGTTTATACCTGCTTAAAAAGACAAATAATAACAAGTGCTAGAAAAAATGTAGAGAAATTAGAACCATCATACACTACTGGTGGGAATGTAAAATGGAGTAGTCATTTTGTTTGTTTGTTTGTTTTAATGTTTTATTTATTTCTGAGAGAGAGAGAGGGAGTGTGAGCAGGGGAGGGTCAGAGAGAGAGGGAGACACAGAATCAGAAGCGGCCTCCAGGCTCTGAGCTAGCTGTCAGCACAGAGCCCAACAGGGGGCTCGAACCCATGAACCGTGAGATCATGACCCGAGCCGAAGTCACACACTTAACCAACTGAACCACACAGGTGCCCCGGATAGCAGTTCCCCAAAAAGTTTACCCAGCAATTCCACTCAGAATTTCACTCAGAAATAGAAACATATAGTTGTACACAAATATTTAAAGTGGCATTATTCATAATAGTTAAAAAGTGGAACCCACACAAATGTCCATCAACTCATAAACTGATAAGCCAAATGCAGTATATCTGTATAATAGAATATTATTTGGCAGTAAAAAAGAAAGAAGTATTGATACATGCTGTAACATGGATGAGTCTTGAAAAAATTATGCTAAATGAGAGAAGCCAGTCACAAAAGACCTGTATTGTATAATGTCATTTATATGAAATGTCTAGAAATGGTATATCTATAGAGACAAGAGAGTAAATTAGTGGTTGCCTAGGGCTGAGACTGGGGTGGGGATGGAAATGAGGAGTGATCACTAATGGGCACAAGCTTTCTTTCTGGGGTAATGAAAATGTTCTCAAATCAATTATGGTGATAGTTGAACAACACGTGTATACTAAAACCCATTAAATTGTAAACTTAAATAGGCAAATAATATGGTATGTGAATTTTATCTTTATAAAGCTATTAAAAATACATTTGTGTAAAGTACATACTAAGGGAAGAAATGTTCATAATATTTGTGAATGATTTAGAATCATGTATTGTAATATGATTATAATTATTTGGAAAGAAGATTGAAAGCTTTGACATATAAATATTGTATGGCTTCACTCATGTGGAATCTAAGAAACAAAACATGTGAACATAGGAAAAGGGAAGGAAGAATAAGATAAAAACAGAGAGGAAGGCAAACCATAAGAAACTCTTAAATACAGAGAACAAACTGAGGGTTGCTGGAGGGTACCGGGTGGGGGGATGGGCTAGATGAGTGATGAGCCTTAAGGAGGGCACTTGTTGGGATGAGCACTGGGTGTTGTATGTAAGTGATGAATCACTGGGTTCTACTCCTGAAATCAACACTACCCTGTATGCTAACTAACTTGAATTTAAATAAATAAATTCAAACAAAAACCCAAACAAACAAAAAAGCTGTGACCTAAATTCTGACAAGAGATCCACTAACATGTTAATGAAGGCTGCCTTTGGATGGTGAAGTATGGTTGACGTTTTTTCCCCTTTGACAAGCAGGCCTTACTTTGATAATAAGGGAAGCCTCTTTTAATAAAAGAAATAAAGAGGCTTTATTTCCCAAACAGTCCTTGGGTATAATCCTTATTCATCCTTACCCCCCGCTAAACAGAAAGCATCTGAAGAGAGTTTCAGCTGTCGTTCTATAGAAAACGAAGTCTGAGACCAAAATGACGGTTTCCATGTTCCCTCCTGCCTCCTGTTCTTCTACCCCACAGGCCCATAAAAGAAAAATGATTCAGAAAGTCGTGAGCTGGTAAACCTGGAAATGTGCTGTACTTGTATTTGGCAGCCTCGTGCTCTGGAAGTGAGAAGCCAACAACCACCGTCCAGGGCTTCTCACAGTGAAAGTGGAACGAAGGAGGCGTGTGTTCCAGCTGGGGGCATAAGTTAGGGCCCGTGCCAGGTACAAAGAGATGTTTTATTTTTTCCTTGAGCGCACACTATATGCTTATCTCTACTGAGGAAACCAGCTTTTCCTTCTTACCTCCCAAGAGGAGAAGTCAGTCCTGGCTCACATCCCTGGACAGAGTTACACTTCCCAGCTGGCCCCTCTCCAGGCCAGCCAGTTGTCCATCTCTATCTTGGAGGAACAGCTTTGACAAAGTCCTTGGCCCTGTTTGGAAATCCCCTTCCCCTTGCTCTTCCAAACAAAATTAATTTGAAACGGTTGGGTTAATCTGACATTCTTCCTCTGAGGAACATGTGTTCATATGAGGGGGGTAGGGTCTCCTGGAGGACAGTCTCCAGGCTGTCTACTTGGAGTCCATATACCTCCCCAACTCTGCCAATCTGAAGTACATTCAGGGGCATGCACCTGGGTTGGAGAGGGGCCTGGGGGCCCGTTCTCTGAGGAATGGTTGAAGGATCTGGGGCTGCTTAGCTTGGAAAAGAGAAAACTCAGGGAGATCTTGAGAGTTGTCTCAATGAGCTTATTAAAAATTTATTTTGGAATAATATCTCAGAGAAAAATTGGAACAAATGTGGAGAAGTTGCAAGAAGGAAAATTGCCTTAATATAAGAAAGAACTTTTTAGTAATGAGAAATTTTCCAACATGCAATAGGCTCCATAGTTGAGGAAGTAATTTTCATTGGAGGAAGTCTGTACAACTTTCTTTCAGGCATCATCAACTTGAGAGTGTAAAACTTTTTTCCAACAATTATGTGGTGTTTATTATGTGCCAGGCACTGTCCTAAGTACATTATACATATAATTCTAGGAATACTTACAACATCCTTCTAAAATAAATGTATTATTATCTCCAAGTTATAAGAAAAATAAGACTCAGAGAGGTGTTCAGTAACTTGACCGGGGCCACACTGTGACTCAAACTCAGGTAGAATGGCTCCAACATCCATACTCTTAACTCCTATATTGAGGTTACATTTATATTAATACCCCAAGATATGACCATAGACTCCTACATGTCAAAAAATAGGATTTAGTCTCTCTCATCCTGAGATTCTCAGTTTCCAGGAGTCCCCATAGAGTGCCTACCTATACCAACAACATAGTGGATAAAGTACATGCATCTGTCATGCACCATGGCTTCCCTCTTGGCAATGTCTTAGCTCTCAACATGTTTATGCAGCCTCACCAACTATACTAATTGTGAGACCACCAATATCTGTGCCAAGGAGGCTTCCTCACAATACACCCTAGTCTGTAGGGCTCAAGATCTGTGTGTTCTCCACAGTCTGAGAGCTGTGAAGAATGATCCCACATCTGTGCTGCAGTTTGTCTTCTGAGTCCCCAGGAAACAATATTTCTGGCTGGAGTTCTCCATCTCTCACAATAATATATCCCTGTCAGCTACTGGTCCTCATCTCCTTAGGTATAGAGTGTCTGAGACAGTCCAATGGTTCGGATTGGGTCTTAAAATTCATGTCCCTCTCTGTAACTTTTACTTTTTTTCTCTACTGTCTCCTATCACCTGGACAACCAAAATAAATAAAACTCTCTCTCCCCCACCAACAGCCACAAAACACAGAGCTTCCATGCACCAGGTAAAGAGAACTCTGAAGAGATGTCACCTCATTTCTCCCCAGCCCTTGCTCAGCCAAAAAGGACCTATGATCTCTGAAAGCAGAAGCAGGAAGACTATTCTCAGGTGTGCTGGGGAAAGGGGTGCTGGATGAAGTTGGAGGCTGGAAAGAATAGTAAGGTCTCATCAATTTAAAAATGTTAGAATCCTGAGTCCCAAATAGTTTGTTAGAAATGGAGTTGCTTCAGCTTGTGTCCTCAAATCGCCCACACCGGATTTGTTTAGGGAAGAGTAGGCTGTGTTTATAAGTAAAGTTTTTAGTAGTTTATGGATTCTACTACATTTATGGAAGGTACAGGGTGAAGAAACTGTCTGTGTAGTGTAGCTCATCTTTAGGCAAGAGAGGAGGCTGGGGTGTGGAAGGCTGGGGTCAATTTACTGATGGGGAGCAATTAATGGCTCTGTCTGATAAGCCTTTTCCTTGAAGAAGAGTTTCAGAGATGAGCTACCTCTGTTTGTACCCAGTCTCTCTCATGTGTTTTGGGTCCCTCATGTTCTTCAGGTCTTCTCATTGTTTTTTATGGTCAATGTGAGGGATATGTGACAATTAGATTCTTTGAAGTTTCCATGAGAATATTTGGCTGAAATAGGGGAGAGAAGATAGGGACAAGAATGAAGTACATCTCACTGTGGATCTTCAAAATGGCCTCCAGTAACCCTTGCCTCCTAATGTTTGTATCTTGCAGAGCATCTCTCCCTGCATTGAATCCATGTTTGTCTGTATGACCAATAAAATATGGCAAAAATGACAATGTGTCACTTTCTAGGCCAGATCATGGCTTCCACCTTCGCTCTAGGGAAAGTTAGCCACCATGTTGTGAAGCAGCCATGTGGAGGAACCTCTGGGGGGAGGAACTGAGGCCAAAGCCAGCACCCACTTGTCAGCCAAGTAAGTGAATATCCTCAAAAGCATATTTTCTAGCCCCAGTAGAGCCCTTGGCTAACTGTAGCCCCAGTTAATATCTTGACCACAACCTCATAAGAGATCCTGAGCCAGACTGTCCAAACTCTTCCTTACCTATAGAAACTGTGGTAGAGGGGCACCTAGGTGGCTCAGTCGGTTAAGTGTCCAACCCTTGATCTCAGCTCAGGTCTTGATCTCAGGGTTGTGAGTTCAAGTTCCATGTTGGACTCCAGCATGGAGCCTACTTACAAAAAGAAAGAAACTGTAATAGATACTGATGATTTCAAGCTAGTTAATAACTCGGTGTTCCCTGGTGGTCTAGTGGTTAGGATTTGGCACTCTCAAGCTAGTTAATAACACATCAATTGATAACTCATGCAAAGAGCAAGTCTGATTATGTGAAGGGCCCTGTGGGTTAGGCACCTTCATGCACAGTGTCCTTGGGAAGCAAAAGAGTTAGCAAACTAGGGCCCATGGGTCAAATCCAGCCCTCTACAGGCCAAATCTGCCCACATCACTTGTTTACATACTGTCTATATGGCTGGTTTCTTGCTACAATGACAGAAGTGAGTAGTTGTGATACACTGAATAGCTCACAACACTGAAAATATTTACAATTTAAACATTTATAGAAAAAATTTGCTAACTCTTATCCTATAGGAACTTGCACTATGATGGTGAAATGTCTTTCACACACACATACAAATACACACACCCACTCCAAACAAGATCCTGAAGTACACACATGCTATTTCATCTGTCTGGTGAGCCCTCTCTACTTTCTTCATTTGGCTAACTCCTACTCATCCTTCAAAACTCAGTTTAGATGCCACCTTCTTGAGTCCAACCTTTACTTATGAAATCCCCCTCCTTCTCTGAGGTTGGCTTATGTATCACCTCCTTCCCTCATTCCCCTAAGCCAAACAAATTCTAACACCAGTGTTTCCATATTTCTTTTAGAACGCTAGTAAATCACATGATGGGGATTTGTTTAGTGTCTGTCTCCCCCACTGGACTATAAGCTCTTCAAGAGCAAGGACTGTGTATTATTCATTTTTTAACCTCAGAGAAATATATATTTATTTATTCATCACAAATACTTATAGGATGCTTATTATTTGCCAGATAATTTGCTTACACTGGGATTCAGAGAAAAAGACGGAGTCCTTGCTTTCAGGTTGCTCTAGGCTAGAAGTGGAGAAGCAAACTGGCATTAGGATATGATGTAGTAGAGGTGGATGCAAACTTTATTGTGAGCATATTTGCTGTAGCCATATAAGCATCTGCAAAAATAAATTGGTTTTCAACACTTTCCTAGCATTTAACAATAATCAGACACTGTACTAAGCACTTAAATACATTACAATTTATTTAATCTTTATACAACATGAGCCAAGTACTACAATTTTCTGTTCTACAGAATATAGAGAGGAAGAGAGGTCAAGTAACTTATCCAGGGTCACAGAGCTAAAGATGTAAAGTAAATTTTGGAGCAATTATTTAGTTGAATAATTCATTCTGAATTTCAGAAACAACACAAGTAGGAGAAATTGGGATAATGCTGTTCTTTTCTCTTAGAACACTAAGTGGATGGTTTCTGTCAAGCTGGAAATTCCGGCTCCAGAGGCTTTCTGATGACTTATACACCATGCTTGGCATTTTATTTCTAGGAATTGCCTTCTGGGAGATTATGCTGCTTTAATGATTGTGCAAGCCTGGTTTCCTCATTGAATTGCACCATTTGCCACTTTGAAGTCATCCCTAGTTGTTAGTTTTACTTTCCTAGGGCTCTGTAGGGGAAGAATACATTCAGCACCCCCCAACTATGTCCTTTTCTTGCTAAAGTCAATAGAGGTATGGATTGCCTACAGCTGGGATGTGAGATGGGGCTCTGGTTCCTTCTCTCTGCCATCACTTATCTCCAGCTGTGATCTCAGTTGTGGATTAATTGGTTCAAACCTTGGGTATCTGTCAGTGAATTGGTTCAGAGATTCTGTGTACAGTGGCTGATGGTGCTGGCTCTAGCTTAAAGAAAACCATTGCCCCCTGTAGTATGAATCACTTAATTACATTCTATTTCCCTTTCTAAGAATGAAGACTCTGAAGCTCCAAAGCTGGTCCCCTTTAAAAATAAATAAGTAGGTATTCTGAGCCATTTGTCTGTTCTGTTCAGGTCACTCATTTGTGCTTGGTTCTGCCTTCCTGCCCAAAGATGTGAGTGCTTTGTGATAAAGACTGGAGGTGGTGAGTGGGGGAAACCTTATGGAGGACAGTGACAGGTGCTGAAAGCAGGTATGTCCCTTGCTCAAGAGCCTTAGCTCAGCTATTCCCTTCCAAGGTTAAGGGTGCAGAGTGAAGTGATGAGGAGTGGTGTCAAAGTAGGTGGGAGAGGGAAAGGCCAGTATGTCCACTCACGGTTTTTAGCCTATTCACCCTCATTCCACAAGTCTTGAAGGAATTGACTACTTGCCAGACCTTGTTTATAATCAGGTCCTGGAATTTACAGATGAGACAGATATGGTTCCTACCCTTCTGAAGTAGTGGGGAAGTTCAGAAAGAAGTTGACACTTAAATAAAATAATTGCAAATTAAGGTAAGTGATGGTAGGAATAAAGAGTGGACTATTACAGAGAACAATTGAGAGTCGGGGATGGGACAGGACCATTTATTTTGAATGGAGTAATCAGAGAAGGCTTTTCTGAGGATGTGAAAGATAATGAACATGAAGGATAAAGAAGCAAAGGGAGAATTCCAGGCAGAGAGAATGGATTGTGCGAATGTCCTGAAGCCGAGGTCAGTTCAGGCAAACTGAAATGGCTAAGCTGCTCTTGGTGCGGGGCCCCCAGACTTCCTGCCTGGACTACTTTCTCTAGAAGTTCCCCTTCTCTAGAAGTTCGAACTCTAGAAGTTCGTCTGGGGTCTCAGCCTCCAGCTATAGCTCTGAGCCAGAGCAGCATTCATCGAGAAAAGGATGCTTAGGATAAACAGACCTTAGTAAAGCTTTGTGTTACAAATTACTTAGGTCTTCTGTGTTCAAATCTTGGCTCTGCCACTCAGAAGCTTTAAGCATAACATGTTACTTAACTGCTCTGTGCCTCAGTATCCTCATCTGTAAACTAGGTCTTAAAAATGTATCTATCTCAGAGATAGAGAGATTATTAGAATAAATTAAATGGTTATTAGATTTAATTAGTTCATTAAATTAGCTAAGTGCTTAGGTCAGTGCCTGGCTTATAAATATTCTACAATCATGTTGTTATTATTATTATCATACTTTAGCTCTTGTACCCCGCTGGCAGTAAAGGTGTGTTATGCATTCGCCAGAAGCTGGTTTCTCAGGAATCAAGCTGTAGCCTTCTCATATGATTCAGTTCAGATCATTTTTATACTAGGCACTGTACTGGACACTTGGCTACATCATTTTCTTGAACAACAGCCATTAAGAAGAAGGTATTATCCCTATTTTATAGATGTAAGAACTCAGGTTTAAAGAGGGTAACCAACTTACCTAACACCACAAAGCTAGAGTGATTCCTAGGTCCACTGCTGAGATCTGACTCAGTAGGCCTGCATAAATCACTGGGATCTGCATTACAAGTACCTACCCCAACCTTTCCAGTTCTGATGCAGGTGACCTCTTTACTGTACTTTGGAAAACTAAGGTTTAGATTATCTTTTTTTAAAAAAAATTTTAATGTTCATTTTAATGTTTATTCATTTTTGAGAGAGAGAGAGAGAGAGAATGTGTGAGCAGGGGAGGGTCAGAGAGAGAGGGAGACATGGAATCCGAAGCAGGCTCCAGGCTCTGAGCTGTCAGCACAGAGCCTGAGGCAGGGCTCAAACTCACAAACCTCGAGATCTTGTCCTGAGCCCAAGTTGGATGCTTAACCAACTGAGCCACCCAGGCGCCCTTAAATGATCTTTAAGGCTACCTTTGGCTGCACAGTCTGTGAAGATGAGAAAGTCCATACGCACCCAGCGTGCAGTTTAGTGAGGAATGCAGTTTGCTGCTGTTGATGTTTATTGTTACAGAATTAACTCAGTTCATGATACTGGTTGCCTGCTCTGGTTACTGTCCAACAGACACATTGGGGCTGAAAAATGTCCCCAGAGTGTTTTGCATTATGTAATCTCAGTTCATAATTTCTCATCTACAGTACCAAGTGAAGATAAAATAAAACCGCTCTGAAAACCGGATGTCTTAAGATTGGGAAATTCATTTTGGAGGCAAACGTGACTGAACTGAAGTAAGTTTATTTGCAGATATTATTTAAACCACTTGCTGTGAATACTTAAGCACTGCACTGCAAAATTATCAGTGTGCTTGATTATGGGGTTGTATTAATGATCTATTGTTGCATAACAAATTACCCCAAAACATACTGGCTTAAAACAGCAAACATTTATTTTCTCACAGTTTCTGTGGGTCAGGAATTCAGAAGAGGCTTAACTGGCTGGTTTTGACTCAGGGTTTCTCATACAGTTACAGTCAAGATGTTGCTACGGCTGCAGACATCTGAAGGCTTGCCCAGGGCTGGGAAGTCCCTGGCAAGATGGCTCACTTATATGACTGTTAGCAGGAGAAGCACAATGCCTTTTTATTTTTAAGTTTATTTATTTATTTTGAAGATGGGGGGCTCACAGAAGCTGGGGAGAGGCAGAGAGAGAGGAGGACAGAGGATCTGAAGCAGGCTCTGTGCTGACAGCAGAGAGTCTAATGTGGGGCTCAAACTCATGAACTATGAGATCATGACCTGATCCAAAGTTAGATGTTTATCCGACTGAGCCACCCATGTGTCCCATGCTTTGTCCTGTTTCTTAAAAGAGAGTTA